TTATATTCCTACAGAATGATTAAATATTCTGATTTTGTATTATCATTACTGATGTTAATTTCTGAGATTATTTTTGAGAGCCTTTCAGTGAGCAGTACATCACCTTGTTTTGGTGAATGATGCAAGAAGACGACATGACAGAACCACTACTGAATTTCCTTCAGTACAAGGCCACTTGCACAGACGAGGTTAGTGCAGCATTCTTGTACCCTTCAAAGTCTGCGTTTATCGCGTGGCAATCAACCCAACAAGTTTTCGCGGTTCTGGATATAAACCACATTCATTGATGAGGCACCACATGTTGAAATTGCTCGGGATTGTTTATTGTACTTGAATTCAATGATGCTAGAAATATGCAATTCCCACAAGGTCGTGTGGCCGCTGGGTTGCAGACAAATGCTTTTGTTTTTTTTTATTTTAAAAGTCCTTGTTTTATCTAGGAGCCCAGATATACGAAGGAGACGTATTGTCTGCTTGTCGATTTTCTCGCGTACATTCTCCACTACGACACAAATGATAATTTCGTGCTGCAAATTAATTGGCAATATTTAACAAATTGTGTGCGGTCATTGGCAACCAGGCCGAGCCCGATCCACCACCGGCCACGCTTGAGAATTTAGCCTCATCAGCGGTGGCCAAAAAAGCCCAGATCCTCAACTCGGCCATCTCAGCCACGCTTTGGCTCAGCGTCCCCTTACACCTCTGCGCTCTCTCCATGCGTGGTGGAGAGCATCATGGGTTTACCTGGCAGCGTCCCCCTACTTGCTATGCTGCACGCACGCTCCTCACCGGGAGTGAGGCTGCTCAGGAGACAAACGCCCCGGCAGCATTAGGATGCGGTGAGCGTCAGGAGCGCAGGTGCAACTGTCTCGCTCCGGGGTGCGGAGTTCACCACGCTTCAAGCGCCCGTGGTGGATGGGGTTGCGTTGCGGCTCTAATCGCATTCTAAGAATAGCCGTGAGCCGTCGTCCCGATAGCGGCAGCAGCGGCAGCTCCATGCGTCCCCGTCCGGAGAAGTCCCCCCCCCCCCCGCCGCCCTGAGGCTGTAAGAGAACCCCCCTAGGCAACTCGCTACGAGAAGGAGCATTCCGCCTGTGATGCTTTACGGTCCAACGCCGTCAGCGATTGCAAAGGAGCAGCAGCTTCGTGAACGTAAGGACATCGAGGATCGTCCATAATAACACGCTGACCTCCTTCTACATGTGTATGTTGGGTGTGTTTTTTTTTTTCCTTATTATAAATTTGAATAATGCATTTACAGTTTTTGTTGTAAATACAACGCTGTCAGCCACGGGAGGTTGTTAACCATACTTCACCACGCCGGTAAGTGCATTGGTGAAAGGGCAGAGCCCGAGATGTGTTCAGATAGAGCACGCCACTGGTGTTAGCCATGGCTGGGAATCGATCGCAGGTTGCCAGGTGCATAGCGCATCGCGCTAGCCACTACGCCACCGCTCCTGCCCAATATCTCTTACAATGTCAGGAATCTCAGCGTGGCTTGGATGTCCAAATGAAAATCGCCATTGTTGTGCATAGTCTGCATAGAGCTTTGTGATGGCTGCAAGTCCAACGCATCTGAGATCGAGGCATATTTCTGTTTTCTAGAACAGGAACAAGTCTATTGTTTTCCAGCTTCCTGATTATTAGCACTCATCAGTGCGTTTATTCCTTAAAAGTATAGAAGTACTGCTGTTGCATTAATGTCTGATCCGGTCAGAGCATTGGTACAATGAGAACTACTTTCGTGGTAAGTCAACAGTGGTCGTTCTATGGATGCGCTGGCCTTGCCATCAGAACGTGGAATGTCATACCAATGGGCCTCAAGGACTGCCGACAGAAATAAGAGCTGCGCGGGTTCACCACTCCGCGCCGCATACGCGTGTTGAATTCACAAGGGCAATCTTCATTTGAAGCTTTCGTGACTGCAGGAATCCATACTCTTTGGTTCTTTCGGTAAAGTCACGTAGGTAGAAAATAAATCAAATAAATCACGACGTTTCGGGCGCAACACAAGCGTCCACCACCTGATGGCGGACGCTTGTGTTGTGCCCGAAACGTCGTGATTTTTTAAATTTTCGCTCGGGCACTCGCAGAGTCCTGGTCAGCCCGCCAAAGTACGGCACTTCCCGGTGGCATCTTGGTGCAAAATTCCTTGCTTTGAATTTACGCGCATTCACGCATGTATGTATATATTTACAGACAAAGTGGACCAGAGATATCAGTCATTCCACTACTCTCCTTCTACACACATTGCTTTTCATTGTTTCAGTTATCTGGGTAACATTACTTCGCAAGATCACGATTGATGCCCAACGGCGTGGCCTTCCCAAGCAGCTGCCATCATCCAGCAGTGGATTGACCATGGCTGCTGCTGCTTATGATGATGGCAGCGATTTAAATAAACCTCTTCAAAGTTGCAGCTCTGTATCACAACCACATCCCCGATGAGTCTGATGAGGCGTACGCGACACGGTGACTTAACAACAGAACGATGAGTCAATCTTAACTTCTATTGCACCGACTCACCTGCCTGACTGCGGCTGTTTTGTTGCAGTACTTGTTACACACAGACACATGACGTGACACACGTGTTAGCAAACAGCTAAGAAGCACCAAGCCCCATCAACAGTGGGCTGCACCTCAATGAGCAAAGCAACCCGATGTCTGTGTCACACAAAGCACTGCGCGCGACACGGGCGCACACCTACGGACGGATTCAGTCATGGTTTTGTACCGTGTCGTGTTTACAGATCGAGTTTTGTGTGTGTGTGTTTTTTTTTTCCTGTGCCGAGCCAATTCTCAATGTCAACGTGACACATTCGAATTGCAGCGGACGAGCGAGGTGTAAAGAGAACGTTGGAGCAGACTGAAAGGTAATGTTTTAGCGACTGATTGCTGTTCGTTTCAGGTTCCGTTGTAAAATGTTTTCTAAAGGAATGCCGAGTCCTACCCAGACGTATCGGGGGGGGGGGAGGGGGGGGGAGAAATATATTCGCGAATGGCGTTCGTGTGCTTTGACATTAAAATGTGCGCTGGCTTCTACTGCGAACGGCGCAATGACACGATCCAGACCTTGCAAATGAAGGGTCTGTCTCGCTGAAAAGGGCATTCATATCTCGCTCCCTCTTCATCCAAGGCTGGTTTCAAGAGGTTAAGGTACCTACATTTTACCCCACCACCACCAGCAGCGAGTCATCAACGCTCTTGCTGTCTACTGAAAGCGGTGATGTCACTCGCGCATTTATGCTCTCAAGTCGAGCCTTCTCGCTGTAACAATTTACGCATAATTTACATATTTCCGATATTTACCCGAGCCGATGACAGGGATGGTCGCTGCGGCGTAATGGTGAGCACCATGGACTTGCAATCCAGGGGTCACCGGTTCGCTCTCCCGCGCGGCAGTTGTGGTAATGATGCAAGATCCCTAAATCTCTGCCCCTCTGTCCAATCAGCAGTATAAATGGTGTACGCCGCACACCAGGCAGGTCGTGAGTGGTGGGAAACATGTTTGGGGGCTCCCAGCTCAAGATGCCTGGGTCAGCAGGGAAGAGCAGGTATAACACCCCCGAAAGGAGCTCTCGAGAGTACCTTCAAATTGATAGTCCCATCGGCCAGCAGCTGTTCAAGCGATCAATCGCAGGGCTGCGCTTTTACCATCATTACATTTTTTTTTAAACTGATTAAACCACTTTTGCGGTACATTCTAAGCCAAGCTTTCTTGTTGTGACACGTCAACATATTCGACATGCAAAAACCTCGCAGCAAACGGGCAGAATGCGTAGCACGCTCCCCGCTTCAAGCACGCCGTTGACTTAAACATAATGTTTGATGTCCTTTATCTATCCACTGCTGCTGTGGGTCCTCCAACTTGCCATGTTGGTCAATGAGAGTTTGGGGGGGGTTGCCATATTTCACCACCATGCTCAGTGAGCAGATGGTGAAGTGGAGGGGCCAAAGTCGCCGCCCGGCTATCAGAACATTTGTTTCATAATCAGAATATTTATTTAAGCTGCGGGAGGATTCCGATGAGCTCTAAAGCTCTCTTTCACAGATATTAGTAGTGGCGGGTAAGATCGTTACAACAACTAACAGCACAAAAACATCGTAGCAAAATCTCTCTTGCCGCGCGACCAGCGGTGTTAGCCATGGCCTAAACTGGAACTCGGGTTCGCGAAGTTTGCTGTCCCTCCCGCCACTCCCTCCCCCACCTCCCCCACCCCCCCCCCCCCCATACATTTCCCCATAAAAAATATAGTTTAGCATTTCTGTGTCAAAGTTAAGAATTGGCCTCTAGCATGTGACCAGAGGCACACAAGGCACCCCTCACGTTTCACAATCGGCTCTTTTGACTGAGAAACACTTCAACAGGCAAGCGTTGGTGATTCATGCTGAGATAAGATGACAACAAAGAAGCAGCAGCATCAGCAGCTTCACCACGAGAATTGTCGAACGGCGATGTCACTCCACCTCGTGTTACATTGAAGGTGGGGGGGGCGGGAGCGGGAGTAGGAAAGGGGTGCACTTACAAAACAACATAAATTGCCGCCCGTTTGACAAGAGGAAGGGAACCGCGGTAGCCCAGTGGAAAGTGTGCGATATCCTGCACACCGCCACCGATTTGGCCAAACGCCTCTCGCGTGTCGGGCAGCGCAGGAACGGGTGCCGGTGGAGGTGAGGTTGAAACACCGGCGCGGCTTTGTTGACTCGACGGAGGGAGCCGCGCGCGTGCGAGAGAGACAGAGAGAGAGAGGAGGGATTTTTTGCGGGTTTGCCGGTTTTGACGGAGCGTTGGAGGGGAGATGTGGGCGGTATGGAAAATGACGAAAGTGCACGTCGCGCACAGGAAGGTGATCTCACGCTGCCCACCGTGAAGTGAACTTCGATCAGACCCGGCCTTATAAATTTGGCCACGCAGCAGCCCAAAGTGCTTTAAGACTCCCTCCCAAACGGTACGGGCAGGTGATCTCGATAAGGTGAGTTGATCATCCGTGTGTGTGTGTTGGGGTGTTTTTTTTTGGTACAGAGATCCCGAACAACAAGACAGGCAATGTGGTGTGCAGGCATTTTCCTATTGGGAGAGAAGCGTGCAATCGTCGCTGAGTTATTAATTGTCTCGCACACGTGAATATCTTGTTTCCACTTTGACACATTGTTCAATGTTGAGACTGATATACTCTCGTAAATCATAATTAAATTCCGGGTATTCTGTAAAAAATATATATATATATTTTATTAACCAAGCACCACAAAAAACAGGCGTGAAGTTGCAGTTGTCTTTCATAATTAGTTTTGTTCATGCAATGGACAACCTCTTTTTGTGACATTTCACCCAAAAAGTGTGTAGATCATTTATTTTATTTTACAGAAAATACGTTTTGGTCCTACGTAAAGCAGTGTGGGATTAGTAGGTTTGTACCTCGCCATCTTTATCATAACGTGCTAATCATCCTCATAGTCCTCATTTGATTATTTAGAATTTTATTTTAGATATAAATTCATGCAACTTTTTTTCTCCATTTTACCCTTTTACCGAAGCATAGAACAATTTCCAACCCGAAAAAAAAACTACCGCTGCCCTAACCCCCAAATCACAGGCCGCACGCGTCCGTAATCACGACGATGGCTGGCATATGCCTGGGGTGGCTGGTCTTTTACAAATCACGAGAGGGGTGTCTGTGGTCGGAGAGTCACGCGGGAGGGTGAAGATCCGCACATTTTTGGTCGAGGTGGGGGTAGAATTTATACTTTAAATCGCACGATTACAGCGTACAATAGATATACTCCATTGAACGTTCAATATACATTTTCTCGATCCGGTCACGGTTTCTTATCTAGTATTAAAACATATTTCGTTCAATGTGTAAACAATTAAAATTGTACACAATAATAGTTAACAGCTCATTATTATTCCAGCTAAACGGTTAACCATTCACACGTTGCTCTTAACTAAATAAACAGGCAATGCCCCACGGGATATCTAATCGGTTCCACTTGCACAGATCAATCATGCATCCCTTTAGCCTGCGCTTAGGAAATGTTATTCAAAGTAACGAAAAAAAAGAAACGTCAAAACGTGAGCCCAAGTGACTTCGACCCTGTGTTTTAGACACACGGCTGTAGCAAAAAGAAAGTGCAAGGAGAGCACCTGGAAAACTTTGATTAACCTTGGAATTTGTGAGCGAGCTTCGATTTTTTTTGTTTTGTCGTGTGTTGACGCGCGTGTGCGCACTTGCGCGCTCCAAACTCGCGTGATTTGCTCGCAGTGCTCGGTCGCGCAAAGGTCAAGAAAAGGGGCGAAAGGGCGATCGTGCACAGCAAGCATGTCCAAGAAGAGGGCTGACCCCAAGGTGATCGGCCTGTCGGTCACCGTGGGACTTCTGGCCATCGCCCTCATTGTGTTCATCGTCCTCTTTGCCACCAAGGGTACGTTGCTTTCATAACCTTTCGCACTCACACTCGCGGGCAACCTCCCCCCCCCCCCATCGTGCCCCCGCCCTGCTCAACCCCCGCGTTGCGCATCGAACGGGTTGCTTGCTGCCCCGGGGGACACGGTCCGGTAAACGTCCCCCCCCCACCCGGGGATTGTGTGGAAGCGACGGTGGCTCTCTCTCTGCGTAGCCCGATCCGATGAACGAGAGAGCGTCCGCCGGGTTCCGCCCGTGGACGCAAAGGCACGGCAGTGGAACACCATAGTGCGAATGGCACAATGGGCAAATGAAGGAGTGCTCGATTTTGTTCCTGCTTTTTTTGTTTCGACCAACGCCAACACGTTTGTTTTATTTGTCACACCAATGACCCCGTTTAGCCAGCTGTGCCCGGATGTTTTACGAAGGGAGATCCCCGTGGTGCCGTGATCACAGCAACAAACAAAAGACACACATACCCGAACGAGTGTTTCGCTCGTCCGACTCGGGGTTCGGTTTGTGCGATTTGGCACATATGCGGGCACATCTATTTCTACTCTAAATTTGCAATGTGCGGTTTGAATTCACTCATATGCTGCAACGCGGACAGACGTGAGATGTTGTTTTTGCTTATGTATCTTCGACTCGGCAGGCAGCTTTCTCCACGCGGGGTTTCGCCTTTTGCACCATTTTTTTGGAATGCATCTACCACTACCACCGCATAGAGCGAGGGGAACGTGTCCAGGGCCCTTAAGGAACGTTGCATCATGAACAAACGGGGTGTTTCATGGTCGTAAATGAAACGAGCGCGAATAAGTAAATACAAACTGTGCAAATATAACATGAGAGCAAGAGGCACCAGAAAACGTTAGGTGCAGGTGCAAGTTAGCTCGATATTTTAGTGTAACGGCGACGTAAAACGCACGTTAATTTTAAAGGACAGTGAGGACAGACTCCCAGGCAAGATTGTGTATCCAATATTAGTTCCTTTAAAATTAGATCTGCACGCCTGCAAGATTACAGCCTTACCGAATACTTAATCATCATCGATTTATCGTTTGCATCGATGTTGCGTGTTTTTTTTTGTGTGCGTTTGCTGCAGAGACGTCAACTCCCCCGGCTCCGGGCGCCTGCACGAGTCCAGACTGCACCGTATCAGGTGACTGTGCGACGGCCTTCTTGTGCCCGGGCCCTACGCCCACGATAACTTATCACTGCGGCTCACTCTCGCGTTGTGGCAAGAGCGCGCTACCCGCCCGCTCCCACTTGTCCCCGATCAGAATTTCCGTTCGCCCAAAGTGATGAGACAAACAGAACCCAAATGCGCATTCCTCAAAATACAGTAGAGGCCAGCGGCTCGCCACAATGGAAGGACCCGTTTACTGGCCTCCACCGCCAGTACGCATTGTTACACGTGAAACTATTGCTGTGGATGTTTTTTTTTATCGTGCTCTAAAGTATAATTCGGTCCCATTTCATATCGCGTTTGAATTCTCGATTATTTGATTCGGGGGGGACGAGTGGGGGGGGGGGGGGGGGGGGGCGGGCAGTATGCTTTGCATCCAGCAGCTCTGGAGTATTAAATTCAGAATCAGAATCTGTATCTAGAATGGCGGAATCCGATTAACTATGACGCTCTTTTTCACAGATGTCCAGTCGGTGGGCACAGGGTCAGAAAGTTACAATGAGTGACGCGCCCAGCAGACAATCCTCCCACTTGATTGCATTTAGCAGGCGGATGCATTGATGACGAAGCAAACGTTCAATAAATGAGAAGTTACAGAGAGATTTTAAAAAAATGCGTTTGCGTGGAGTTAACGCGTTCCACCGTGCGTCTGTCTTCAGAAGAGTTTCGCTAACAGCACGTGCAGCTGTCAGGTGCAAAAATGACATGAGGATTATTTGAATGATTTATAAATTGGTTTCTCTGGGGCTAGATCATGGTAGGTGTAATGCAAATTCGAGCAATACACTTAAAATGTCAATTCGAACTCTTCCAGACGTGCACAGGACGAGGTTCGTGAGAGAGTGCTCCCTGGTTGACAGACGGACAGAACCAATGCGTGTACACGTTCATCCTTTGTTCGGAAGAGTGAACAAGTGAAGCCGTGTTTTAGTCAGATGTTGATCAGAAGTGCCCGGCATAAAAAAAGCGATGTTGAATGAGCTGTTGTTAAACTATCGTCAGTGCCTGCACCTTGCCTCGTATTTATTTGAAACCAGCTAAGGGCCACACTGAGCTATTAGCCTTTTTTTTAGTGGGCACACATGATGGCTCATCAAAGTGACTTCATCATCATCAGTTATGGAACTTTATCGTTGCAGCAACATAATCTCATCAGATGCAGATTATAATAATTTCACAGCCCTTTGTCAATCCACTGCTGGATGAAGGAAAACAATCCACCCCAATGCCATCTAGGCCATGATAATTATTTGACCAAACTTCACAATGGTGTGGGATGCGATGTCGCGCACCCACATTGCGGTCCGCTCAGTCGAGGGTTCATAGCGCTAACCCCTACATTACCACTCCCTACATGATGATGATGAACATACACACACACACATATACACTCCTTGAGACACAAACAGACAACTGCCACCGAGTGCGGTTCTTATGTAACTCGTGACAGGTACAATTATGTGTGTGTCACTTTTCGTCGTTCAGAAGCAAGTGGCAATTACCCTCCCAGCGTGATTGCTGTAAGTTTTGTCTGTCCACATGACTATGCATGTAGCCGTTCAGGTTTTTGACAACACAGTCTATTCACTGCTCACTTGATAGCCACAAACGACAGTTAACATTAGCTCTCATTGTGTTCTTAAAAATCAACGCGATTTCCTTCACGAACGAGCACGCCGCGCTCACCGCCTCTTTACAGCCCTGAGCAAGGGGTAGCGATTCCACATTCCTATGACGGGAGATGACTCTATCCACAGGACAACCACTATTGACTTCCCCGCTGTGGTACTCATTTTATCGACGCCCAGAGAGATGATGGTCTGAATCAACCCCCATCCACTATTTTAACTCCGAACCGTACGATTGATTGTGAGCCGCTCGCTCGACTACTGGCCATTGGGCTCCCATTTGCTTATCCATCAAATGATTGAATGATTGATGTTGCAAGCTATAGCGATATATATTGATATAGAGTCTCCTCTTGTGTGTGCGTATGTGTGTGTTTTATATATATGGGGAGCGGTAGTGTAGTGGTTATCGTGCTGCTCTACGAACCTGGTGACCTGAGATCGAATCCCGATCACGGCCAACACCAGTGACGATTATCTGAACCGGTCCTGGGCCTCCCTAAGTTGAGTCAGCCTCAAATGAGTACCTGGTGCGGTGTGTAGTAAACATCACCACTGGGGAGACAAAGGCGGCCGTGCATGATGTTGGCCACCCACCCCCTCGTGTGCTTTTTCCAGCCTTCATAGTTGCTACTCGCGAACAGCACTTTCCCTAACAGCATGTTAAGGCTACACGGGGGATATTTGTCTTTGTTATATTTCGACATCTTTAAGTTGATGGTTAGCCCGCTTGCCACTGTCGCGGCAGAGCGCCGTGGGGCTCGGCGTTTGGGATTCCACCGCTGGCTGCCAACACTTTGGGCCGCTCTAAGAAGTGGCTCCGCCTGCTGCTTATTAAACAACGTAACGAGAAAAACGACGGGATTCACAAGAGTCAGCCATTCCGGGCCGGTGGTATTTGTCAAAATGTTGCCAATATTTATTTTGTTATTCCAAATGACGGAAAAAAATTAAAGTAGCGCTGACAATGCTCTCCTGGGATGCATCCCACGCCAGTTGTGGCTCATTGCTGAGCAGCGGATGGCTTTGGGATGATGATGATGATTTTAACGATGATGATGATGATGACAATGACGATTATTTTCACACCGATAATGATGTTGATGGTGGCGATGATTCTCGTTTTCTTAGCGGCGCGAATCCTGGAGAACATGGACCCGAGCGCGGACCCCTGTAAGGATTTCTACAAGTACGCTTGCGGAGGATGGCTCAAAAAGAACATCATCCCAGAAACCAGCTCTCGTTACGGTGTCTTTGACATCCTGAGGGATGAATTAGAAGTTGTCCTGAAAGGTAAAAAAACGATCGTCAAGCGGTGTTCAGCCCATGCACGTTACACTGCCGCTGCTCCTAACCCGATTGCTCAAAGATGGGCGGCAGTAGTGTGTGGCGTAAGCTCGGGAGAAGGCACAGTTTAACTACCACAGCTCACTGTGGCAAATTAGACTAAGTCCTGGTCACTTGAGTTTTCACAGGGGCATGCAACATCAACTCGAGATGCTCAACGCGCAGCCCAAACCATAATGACCTCGCTCGAAGCGACCGTTTATTAATTTAGCGTGTCTAAATAAACAAACAAAAACTATTTTGGTTTTAATTTTACCAGGGTAAGTCCAACTGAGCTATATGGATCTTTTTCAGAAGCGACCTGGCCACAAATGATAAGTTCAACGAAGTGGCTTATCACCTACGTGACTTTACCGAATAGAACCAAAGAGTATGGATCCTTGCAGTCACGAAAGCTTCAAATCTAGAATTGAATCACGTGGAAATTTATAGCAGCCAAATACTCTAAACGCATGTTTCTAAATTTGGAGGGAAAAACCGAAGGATCCATGAGAAGAATCCACAAGACCACAGGGAGAGAGAGAGACACGCAAACTCCAACTATAAGCAGGCGTCAGGGTCGGGATTGAACCCACAACCTCCTGTATACCAGGCGAGGTAGTTAACATCTCTGTTTCCTGTTGCCTGGGTGAAAGGTGGTGGGGCTATGATCCTTGCCCAACCCTGGCCAGCTTACTCAAAAGCTCAATAAATTAAACTAAATGCAGGGATTAGAATGTATATCCCATTCATGTGAAACGTAGGTGGTGATTCTCAGTTGACGAAAATCCATATAATGTGGCATCCACACCACTGCTGCATGCATTGCGTTTTAGTGCTCTGCTTGGAGAGTTTAATCAAGGAAGAAAACATGTATTTTGATTTAAAGCTTTCGTGACTGCAGGGATTCATATTCTTGGTTCTTTCGGTAAAGTCACGTAGAAGGGAAACAATAAAATAATAAAAATATAAAACATGTATTCTCAAGATAAAACATTTTTACCTGTCTTTCATTACCATTTTTCTTTCTGCAAATATTTATTCATCTAAACGTTACAGTTGTTTGATTGTTATTATTATTATAATAAGGTGCGCTCCGCCCTCTGTATATTTCATGCAAAAGTAGGGGTTGCATCTTTGCAATTTTGGTCGGTGTGTGTGTGTGTGGATCAGATTTGTATTTGTGGGGAGCGGTGGCGCAGCGGTTAGCGTGCTGCGCTTACGAACCCGGCGTCCCGAGTTCAATTCCCGCTCCATGGCCAACGTCAGTGACTAATATCTGGACCCCTTCTCAGGCCTCCCTTAGGTTGACTCAGCCATGCATGAGTAGCCGGTGTGTTGTGTAAACATCGCCACTGGGGAGACAAAGGCGATCAGGCGTGGTTCTGGCCATCCACCCCCTCGTGTGCTGTCCCGGCCTTCATAGATGATCGCTAACAGCACTTTCCCCGACAGTCTGTTAAACGCTATATGGGCAATTTTTGTCTTCGATTTGTTTTACCAGACTTGTGTGACTTTATTGGCACTGGGTATATGCTTGGCATGCGTCCGAGAATTGTAAAGTCCGGATAATAAGGCAATATAGTCTGTTTAATTATTCTGGCTGACCGTTAAAATATCACAGCTCACGTGACTTGGTGGATGTCTGCTCTGACAGCTGTTCTGGAGAAGTCTGATGATGCAGCACGTGATGCTTACAAGAAATCAAGGACACTCTACGCCTCTTGCATCGATCAAGGTGAAGGCTCTATGTGATTCCCTCTACCATACAATGGGAATACTTTTGTAGCCATATGATACATCAAGAGGCACGTGTATATCTCAAGGCACCGTAGATAATATGAGAATGGTGGTGGACGGTCGGCTGGGGTGGTCAGCTGTCTCTTGAGTTTGAACTTAAACTTGGACTCGATAAGTCCTCGGGCGATTGGTTAAGGGAAAGAGTTCCAGACAGTGAGGACAGCAGAGGAGAAGGAGTGACCTCCTACTTGATGTTATTTTATGACGCGGAGAATGAGCGTATAAGCTAACCGAGGTCTAAGAGGCATGAATGAGACGCAATAATGTCAGAGTTTGCATCGATAAATGCCGCAGCATTCTTTGCGGTTAACAAAATAAATGGAAATGCCCTTGTTTGTGTGTGGTAGAAAAAATCGAAGCCCTCAATTCCCAGCCACTGCTCCAACTTCTTGGAAATGTGAATGAATGGCCGATCGCAACCGTGAACTGGAATACGACCCAAGGTAATGTGGACGCCACTTCCTCACGGGCGCGTGCCACACCAGGCATGCGCACGACGCTCGGCATACTGGCACAGTGGATTGGCACACGGCTTCACTATTTATGAACCCCACGGTCTGAGTTGGATTTCCGGCAACAGCCCACGCCAGTTGCTGAGCGATATATGAACCGGTTGAGGACTCTCAGCTCACCACCAACCCCACACCAGCAGGGGTGGTGAAGTATGGTCAACGGATGTTGCCTGGAGGGAGACGTCATCCAGCAGCGGATTGACACAGGGGTGCAAATTATTGAAAATATCAGTTGTGTGCTGTGCTAGCAACGAATTGGCATGTTATGTTTACGTGAAAAACCTAAAATGGCTGTGTCGGGTGGTGGCGGGTTTAACGACACATTTATATGTTTAAGCGATCTAACCCAAAAAAAAACCTCTCATGGATGACATTGGTCGCGAAAGCCTACGTGTTAAATTAAGTTGTTTTGCTTGTTTAACAGTATATGCTCTTACAATTACTCAACAAAAATATACCTATTGCAAATCAATCGAATGACTTGCGGTCAAAAAGCACTCAACAAACACGTGGTTGCCCCCCCCCCCCCCCCGCTAGAACTGAGTAAACGGATTTGACCTTCGCTAAACGTCTGGGTAGCTTGTCGTTAAGATACCGTATCTCATTCGCGGCGGAGCCCAGGTACGACGTGCGCGTTGGAATTTAGACTCGGAAAAAATATATATCTGCTGAGCTCTGGGTGATGCCGCGTGTAATCGAGTGGACGCTGAACTAGTTCGAAACGCAGGACGCTTGCAGCGTTGTGCAGAAATGTAATTAAATAAAAATAAAACCCATCCCGCGAGGGATTTGCCTTCGCTCATCCCGCAGAAGCCAGATTCACCAACGAGCGAAATCCTTCCGCGCCGCTTGCCAAGCTGCCTAGCAGCTGTAGCCTTTGCGCGACAACGCTGACGTTCCGCTCGATTGCCGATGTCGCTTGAGCCGTTTGTGTTTACTGTTTGAAGTCGACGGCGATGGGGGTTTTTTCCCGCGAGGTACGTGCTTTGCCATCGCTCGGTGTCTTTTTTTCGAAGTATGTCGCGTCGCAATTGCTGCGTCGACGGAGTTTCCAGTGTTCACGCGTTCATCAGTAAGGCTGCCTTAAAAAGGAACGGATAGATTTACACCCCAGCAATCGGCAAACTTTTGGGGCAATGCGCCTTCCTCAGAGCACGTGTGGTCTCCTACGAGGAAGGTGCCATGAAGAAAGGGCCATTAGCCCGAAACGTCTCCTGCCATGTACGTTTCCCTTTTTTGAAGGTCACACGCGGGGTGTTGCTGACGAACGTGTTGAGAGTATATTCGTCAGGCGTGCTCGTACGCCACTGCCAACGCAGGAGCAGCGGCATCCCCAGCACAATGTCTTTTATTCTACAGTCGAGATGTTTGGGATTTATTTTTTCTCCCACCCCACAGGACCCACGTGGATCTTTGAGAAAAACCTTGCAAATCTGGCCAAGAAGTACAGGGTGCGACCGATCGTCAACACCTATGTCGGGATCGATGACAAAAACTCAACCGCCTACATCATCAACGTGAGTGGCGCGCGCTCGTGAGAGTGTGTGGGAGGAGGAGTGGTGCTGCAGTGGTGGGCGCACTTGCGCTAATAACCCTGCGAACCGAGTTAAATTCTCGTTCACAGCCAACGCCAGTGACTCAGCCTCAAATGAGTACCTGGTGCAGTGTGTAATTATCCCAACTAGGGAGACAAAGGCGGCGTAGTGCTGGCCACCTGACCCCCGAGTGCGCCATTCCAGCCTTCATTGGTGCTCGCTGACAGCACTTGTCCCAACAGTCTGTTCAAGGCTAAACGGGGGATCTTTGCCTTTGGTGTGAGAGCAGAGTGCTCGGCGCGTTACCATTCAAGCCATTCCACAACTATTGAAGTACAGTCAAGCGTCGCATATCCGACTCGCTGCGGACTGATGTACAGGCAGATATTTGAAAAAGTCAGATATGTGAACGACTACACGTCACAGCTACTGCACTGGGTGCACGTGTAGGCAATTAATTGGTCAGGGCAGATAAGTTACTGTCGGATATGCGATCTTGAAATGTATTTTCTTTTGAGCCCGAAGCATTATATGATGAATGTGGTGTGCGTGTGTGTGTCGTGCGTGTGTGCGTGGTGTGACACGAACTTTCTCTTCACATTGCTCGTTCCAGATTGACCAGCCAGGCTTTGGCCTGCCCTCCAGAGACTATTACTTCTCAGAGACAGAAAGCTACGTCAAGGTACAACTTATAGCAAAACAAAAGCCAGAAAGGCCAGCGAAATCCGCGAACGTGCCAACAAGGCCCTCTCGACCTCGCCCGGCGCGTTTTTTGGAATCGCTTCGCACGCCGTTTGGCGCGACGTCCGACGTTTCGCTCAACGTGCCTGGAGCTTCGTTCTGGGGGAACCGTGGATTAATTTTTCCGTGAATCCACGTCAGAGAAACCATACGGCAGCCCTCTTCCCCCCGCACCTCCGATTAGCACGGTTGGCAACGTACAATGCAATACAACTTCTGAAGGCCTTGCTGAACTCTTTGATCGCTACAAGTCAAATACACTGCCCGCCGTGCCGTCTATTTCCAGGGAACTCATCGCGGGGTTAGTGTGCTCGGCTGGCAATTGAACGTTGGCCCCAAGGTTAAATTCGATTGGTGATCCACTTAGTCCATCAATTCACATTTCCTTGGCGTGGTGCTGCAAAGCGGGACACGAGTTAACTTTGAGAGAAACAATAGTCACGTGCAGACAGTTCTCTAAGCAACTGAAGGTGCCTGTCGGTAGGAGGCAACTGGGGAAACACGTCAGAGTTTCTACGCCGAGTGCTGCGATTGGTCAGGACCGTTGACGAGTGTTCGGCATGTGGGAAGGGAGCAGAGTGACCAGAGGAAATGCCATGCTTATGGCAGGGAGATAACTCGAAGCTCCACACAGATGGATCCAAGCCCATTGCTGTACTGCCAATCCACTGTCCACCGAGCAGCGCAGACCTGAAACACATTGGTGTTTCTAAGCAGTCTCCCATCCAAGTAGTAACCAGGCATATGCCCCTTTAGCTTGCACAATCGGCGCAGGCTGTATTGGTAATAGGCATTTGGTTATCGGAAGTAATTGCGCCGTGTCCATGCTTAAGTACACGCCGTGTTAATCGAGTCACACCCGGAGGTTCCACGGTGGAGAGATATGAAGTACCAATCCAGACCCTGACGCCTGCTGCTGTTTATTTGGAGTTTGCATTTTCTCCCCGTGGTCGCGTGGATCTTTCTCCAGATCATCCGGTTTTCCCCTCCACATTTAGAAACATGCGTTCAGAGTATTCAACTGCTAAAATTTCCACGCGATAAGCCACTTCGTTGAGCTATCATTTGTGATAGCTAGATCGCTTCTGAAAAAGAGCTATATAGCTCAGTGGGGTTTACCTGGTAAGATAAAAAACATAGTTTATTTTTATAGCTTATTGTAGTCACGCTGACCTGCCCTCTACTGTTAGACAATACTGCATTGCGGAACGGTCCTGCATACACAGTGTGCCACGTAGGGATGGCTGCCGCTAGGCGGGGTTCCATAGGCTAGACCACTCCAGATCAATGGAATTGTTGATATGAGATAATGTGATAAGGTAAGGCGCGTTGAGATGCTGGGGAATGTTATTGGCCTGCGAATGCGAATCGTCGCGTGACATCAACGATGTGGATGACATTTTGACGAAGATTTGCACCTAATTCTGATTTCATCATCATCATCATGATTATGCACATTTATGATTATAAATATGATTATGAATATTCATGATCGCGTTTTGATGTTTAGGCTCGGGAGGCATACAAAGATTTCATCGTGGCGATCGCCAACATCGTGCGGAGAGACAAGGCGATTCCTGACGACGATGTGTTCGTGCGGGAACAAATGGAGGGGCTCTTCAACTTTGAGAAAAAACTCGCCGAAGTAAGTTGGCGTCAACTTGCGAAACAGGCGGTCCCGATGGTGTTTGCCGCGTTGTCCCTTTACGTCAGTGGTTCTGAACCTGGGTTGCACGCACCGCCCTGGTGGTGCCAGATGCCCTCTCTGAGGGCCAAAGGGGTGCGGGGCTGCAAGAAAGGTTGAGAACCACTGCTGTGCGTCAACAACATGCGTCTCATCTGTGAGCGCAAAACGGGTCTGTGGCAACGGTGTGTTGAACAAAATACACGTTACCCCGACTATATGTTACCCCGACTACACGTTACCCTGACTACATGTTACCCCGACTACACGTTACCCCGACTACACGTTACCCCGACTGCACGTTACCCCGACTATATGTTACCCCGACTACACGTTACCCTGACTACATGTTACCCCGACTACACGTTACCCCGACTGCACGTTACCCCGACTACACGTTACCCCGACTGCACGTTACCCCGACTACATGTTACCCCGACTGCACGTTACCCCGACTACATGTTACCCTGACTACACGTTACCCTGACTGCACGTTACCCCGACTACATGTTACCCCGACTACACGTTACCCTGACTACACGTTATCCTGACTACACGTTACCCCGACTACACGTTACCCTGACTACATGTTACCCCGACTACACGTTACCCTGACTACACGTTACCCCGACTACACGTTACCCCGACTATATGTTACCCCGACTACACGTTACCCCGACTACACGTTACCCCGACTGCACGTTACCCTGACTATATGTTACCCCGACTACACATTACCCCGACTACACGTTACTCCGACTACACGTTACCCTGACTACACGTTACCCTGACTGCACGTTATCCCGACTGCACGTTACCCCGACTACACGTTACCCTGACTATATGTTACCCCGACTACACATTACCCCGACTACACGTTACCCTGACTACACGTTACCCCGACTACACGTTACCCCGACTACACGTTACCCTGACTACACGTTACCCTGACTACACGTTACCCCGACTGCACGTTACCCCGACTACACGTTACCCCGACTGCATGTTACCCCGACTGCACGTTAACCCGACTGTATGCTACCCTGACTACACGTTACCCTGACTACACGTTACTCAGACTGCACATTACCCCGACTGCACGTTACCCCGACTACACGTTACCCCAACTGCACGTTACCCCGACTGCACGTTACCCTGACTGCATGTTACCCCGACTGCGAAGGTTAAGAGAGGAGTTTGCAATGCCGTGCGCTTAAATATTTTTTTTCGTCGTTTTCAGTTTGACCCGTAAACTTGAGCTCTCGTTGGCAAAGTTAATCTCGTTTTGTTGACTTTGTCTTGGGAAAAGTAAACACTGCGCTTCTTGCTGGTGGGGAAGATAGTGAGAATCTAAGGCCACCACCGGTGAGACGAGACGTGCGCTGATTGTTGACGCACGTTGTTGTGTGCACGCTGGTGGTGGATTATTTCAGTGGCTTTCTCATTTGCTCTGCGTGTTCAACATCAACGCAATATCCTTCTGGTCGTGGTGAAAATGGCAACTTTTTTTGCGAGCGTGGATCAAGTCTGTGCAGCCAGCCAAGAACATCATCGGATGCGGGATTTACCATTATAAGTGCGATGATATCCGTGTATGCCCAATTGACTCGTTGAATGTGTCCTCGTTAAATTGTGCAAACCAATGAAAGAACCCCATCATAAATTGGTTGTCAGATAAGAGGACCGGAGGCTAAATTGAAAATATATATAATTTGTAATTTCCTTTTGAAAATTTATTTTCCCGAGTATTATTCCAATTGGGCTATTGGTGCCAACGTCATGATACGGATGAGCAACTCCGTGCTTGAGAATCACCTGTGGAAGGAGATGTCACAGCACTACTGATATCCTTTCACATTTACCTCTCTCTATCAGCACATTAGGGTTGCACTTTCTCGAATGGTCTCTTACAGGAAAACAATTTTACAGACTAACGGCTAAACCGATGTTTTTATTTATTGCCACGATTAACAATTAAGTTAACAAACCAACATTTAAGCGAATGTTTTTTTTTTGTTGTGCATGCAGTTACTGATGACGGGGTTTGGTAGCCATCAACTAAAAACCCTTCATAGCCCGGTTTTTATTCATGGGTGGCTGAAAACTCACGTTAAAACTCAGCTCTGATCCCCGGCCCATCTGTCCACCTTGTTTACAAATCATTTCACGTCCGCACACAAACCGGTACTGAGCGCGCTCAAGTACCATAAATGTTAAAGCTCACACTTAAAAAATAAATTACATTCGGCAACCATGGACTTAATGATCGTGTGACTCCTGAATGACCGATAACGCCATCATGTCGCCCTGTGTGTCAATGTATCGGAGTGAATCTGTCATAATAGCAATCATGATAATGATGTGTGCCTGTTTCGTTCCACCAGGCATCTACCCCAGATGAGAACAGGACCGATATCACATTGATCTACCACAAGATGAGTCTGTCAGAGCTCAGCACCAACTACAGCATTGGCGTAAGTAGCACGGAGCCCCACGATGTCAACTGGCTTTGCACTCCAGGCGTGGTCATCATATATCCGCTGCTGTCATGCCACGTCCAGCGGTACGCACTGGACTTGCAGCACAAAAGGTTGCCAGTTCAATTCCATCTCCTCCCGCTGCTGCCTGCAGTTGAAACAACTCACAGCGCCTCACCCACCGTGCCACCCACCCACCGTGCCTCTCCCCCCCCCACTCACCTCCGTCCACCCAGCAGTATATTTTTGTTTTAACCGCAGTTAGTTGATCGGCAGGCCATGTTTGGTGGGGTAAAGTGTGGGCACTCCCACATCTTCAAAGGTGTCTGTGGCCAGCTTGGGTCGAGGGGCTAAAAGAAGATAATCTCGGGAGGGCCCTTTTCTTATAACGGATGTAGCGTCTCACGGCCACAAGAAGGTGAATTACTTAGACCACTTGCAGATGATTCAGATTGAACGTCTTTAGAATTAGACTTCTACCAAGTCAGAAGTATCGGCAGAGATAACCCGGAGAGCAAAACCAGTCAATTAACTGTAATGTAATTAGGCGGGTTAAAAACGCGTCCGTTTTTTGTGATCCGATTTTCTTGTTATTGGCATCGATTTGGCTGTGGTTGCAACACATTTTAACCCTCTCACTCTTGTCGAACATCATTGCAATATACGTCAGTCACTCGTTCAGACAGTCAGTCATTGTCGTCTATGGGTAAGTGAAATACTACATGTTTAACTGAGAAATAATTATGCATTGTTTTAAATATGCTCATCGTTAAAATATATATGCGCGAGCTGTATAGATGTCCAGCAAAAGGGGCATTGTCGTTCAAGCACTCAACTCACGGTCAGAAGATTATGAGATCAGTTTGGTCAAAAGTCGACTTGGCCAATCATTCCTTCACGGATCATAAAATATGTACCGCTTACACTGCAGCTTAAGCGCTGACAAAGGGGATTAATGCCACCTAAGTTATTGTTTCAGTACAGATATACTTCAGTTTGACTTTGAGCTTTGCTAATTTTGGAACGCAAAGCCAAAACCGCAAACATTTGAAGTTACTCCAGTTCCCAAAAAGTCACAAGATACACGGGATATCGTGGGATTCCGAAATCTCAAACATAATTTCTCTACATCTGAATAGCTGTAAACAAAAATTAAATACCACCACCTGAAACTGACATTTCTGACTTTCTATTTGTATATTTTTTTATATGTATACATACCGGGAAAATTACTTGAGATGGAAACATTTCATTTGCATGGGTTGGCCCAGGGTGTCAAGTGACACACGCATAGCAAACGCGTAACTGGCACGTATGCACGAACGTCTGACGGTCTGCCAACGTATTTTGGCGTACGTTTATGTGGCAAAGTGTGCACACGGAGAGTCGAGAAGACGGAACGCGGCAGCCTGGGCGGCGCTTGTCCATCGCAGCGCAGTCGCGTACACACAGATAAACGCAGCGCAGTCGCGCACACACAGATAAATGCAGCGCGCCGCCAGCTCGTACAGAAGGTCCTCTCGTAGGCGTGTGTGTGTATGTTGAACTTCTTTCGCATCACGGTACGTAGCCAACCGTGCTCATCCGAGGTAAGGGGGGAAGGACAACAAACTAAACACAGTAGGCAGTTATAAAGAAATGAGTTTGTCAATCTAGACGATTTAAAAGTGCATAGCTTCAATGGCTTCCTAATATCCAGACGCCCACAGAAGCGCATCTGCAAGTGTGTTTTAATTAAGCATTTAAATAAATCGAGACTCGTGGCATATTTTAGGTTTTATGAGAGACTTGCTAGAATTCCCCAATCCTTCATTACCCTGATTGCTTTTGCACGTAGCCTAAATCCCCCAAAGTTACCTGGTAGTTCATGTGCAACAACTTTACGTTGCACACTTATTTGCCACTTTGATAAAAAGGTTGACTATGCATTATGATGTCGTAACTTACTCTTTGATACTTTCAGAATTTTTCCTGGCTCACCTACATGAAGGACATCTTTATTGATATCAAAGATATTAGTAGTGCCGAAAACATCGTGGTCTATGCACCAGAATACTTGATCAAACTGAAAACCATCCTGGAAGATGAAACACCGAGGTACCGACATCTCATATTTACACGATGGAACTTGATCATGTTACCGTTTGCCTGTGTGATGTGCACACTACAATCTTGCAACCTTACTTAATTTCTGGTAACGATACAAAGCACTCTGGATTTAAAGCTTTCATGACTGCGGTAGCAGTTACATTGGGGAAACGAAACGACATGTCTCGGACCATGTTCGCGAACACAAGGCAGATTTGAAACATGGCAGAACCAATACCTCTGCCGTGGCTGATCATTGTTATAACGCAGTGGGCTCGCACGCTATTGTTTTTTTCCGAGACCAAGGTACTCTGCAAACCTTCGGGCTACCATCAAAGATTTGTCCATGAAGCCATCCAGATATATAAACACAGAGACAATTTCAACCAATAAGATGGGTATAAGCTGAACAATAATTGGAAGGACGTTATTAACCAAGCAAAGTCGTAACTTGCTGTGGTGCTTCCATTCTTCCCTGCCGTTTGGCTGTTATCTCCGACTCTCTGAGTTGCATTGCCCTGTTGGGTGCCTCTGCATTAACGGGCTGGGGTCTCACTAACATGGCCACCTCTGCTCCCTTAGCCTCGATGTATCGATGGTTCTGGCTGTGTGATGGGCTGTGTGTCTCACTTGCGCGACCACCGTTGCGGTGGTTCCCTTGCGTGGACGTGCTTGCTTCTCACAGCACAGTTGGCAGCGCCGCAGCTTGTGTTGCACATAGACATGACATTAACTTGCAAATCCCACTAATCTCTCTGCCTATTCTCTCCCATCAACATAGTGCTAATCTCCCATTAACACTGCTGTTGTGCGGGACGGTGCTCTTGTGCGGCGACAGAAGCTAATTTCATGCTAATCTCTCTCCCTAATCTCTCTCTCCCTAATCTCCCCCATTAACACAACTGACGTGCTTGCGTCCGGGGATGGAATTCCTTTCTAGCTCAGACCCCGCCTGCTGGCCCTTCGCCACATGAATAACCTCTTTGTTGTTGTAACAGCTCTCTCGCTGGTTCAGCAGTTCCACTGCTTGATTGTATTTTATCCGCCTGAGGACGACCGCTTGTGTTGCGATCGAAACGTCGTGATATATTATTATTTTATTTTAATTTTCTACCTACGTGACTTTACCGAAACGAACCAAAGAGTATGGATACAAAACACAAATGCCAATTGAAGCAATGGCAATTGTTTGAAATTATGATTGATACAATGCCAATTGAAAACACCAATGGCATTTGAAATCCGAGTCTTTACCTCAGTCTTCCTTCTCATCATCATCGTTCATGATCTATCCACTGCTGGATCAATCACTTATCTTCATGCTTATGTCATCCTCGTGGTCTTGCGATGTAACAATCGATGTAGCATCTAAACGCGAGTTGACTTTATCGCTCCATCGCTGTGTTGGATGCACCCTCAGGGCGTGTTCCCTCCTTTGGCTCTCACTCCGCCGTTAGTCTCCACCACCAGCCACTACAATCATCATCACCATCATCATCCCTGCTAATGACGTGTCCTGCCCAAGCCCGCTTTGCTTCCTTTCCAGTCAACGTTCTTCTGTCGCTAAAGTTCGTGTACCCTCTCCGATCCGCAGGTCGCTCAAGCTTGATGCGATTCCGAGCATGGCATCGTCCCGCGGTCTCGTTTCGCGAACCGGTCGCCCTAATTTTGTTCAACGGTCTTCGTCAGTTTCCACGTCTCTGAGCCGCAATGTCAACGCGCAGCATGCTAGGGTTAAACAAGTCAATTGGTTGGCTTTTCGCAATCAAATTCAAGCCTTCCCCAGAGCACTCCGATCGGCTCTCATCAGCCTCTTTGTTTTCGAGGCTAAGAACAATGACAATCCCGTCGCTTTGTAAACGCGTCCACGTCCAACGGCATCTCGAGATGCCGAACGCAGCGTAGGCAACAACACTGGGAAGTGGGTGAGGGCAGGGAAGCATCTGCGAGTAAGAGAGATCACAGGGCTACACGATGGGGTCCTAGACACCTACATAATGTCCAGGGTCTGAGTTGTATAATTATAACTTAGAGCCCTTTTGTCAATCCACAGCTGGATGAATGCCTCCCCAACCGTCACACCGTGTCGGTCAGGGGAGTTGTCTGAACATATTTCACCGCGCTAAGTCGGTGCCGGGTTGGTGAAGGGGTGGGGAGGAGGGCAGAACAGGTTCTGATATCACTCGCCACCGATGTTACTTAGTCATGGGCAGGAGTAAAACTTGGGTAGCTGGGTTCATAGCGCTGTGCACTAACCACTATGCCGTTGCCCCCACCCTTAGCATTGTACATCTATATTCAAAACGGAAATGGGCTCTGAATGGAAACTTTAAGTGGCTTCCATTAAGTTTTCCCCATCCTCCACCAAATCCTCTTGATGTATCACCGTGGCCTTCTGGTTTTCCTCCTGTCACTGAGAAGGTAGATGGGCAAGTATGGTGTAGGCACGTATTGATTGTTGATGATTATGGTTGCTGTTGTTTGTTTGTTTGGTTTAGCACGATTCAAAACTACATCGTCTGGATGCTCACCGTGGAACACGTAGAATCTCTCAGTCAAAAGTTCAAGGATGCCAGAGCTGAATTTCGCAAGGTACTTCACATTGGTGTGACGATGTATTTGAAGCTCGCGATACAAACATGCATACATAGATACGTGCATGACATCGCACGTATCGATGCATGGGGCAAGCTATGGCAAGAATAATCAAGCCGCTAAAAGTGACGCCTCAATTCCAAGTGAACGCAGTTGGACTTGTATATGTGTGTCACTACGTGTATGCCTAGTGAGTGTTTGTATGTTTACATATATGTTGAACTTATTTTACACTGTGCTAATCAGAGGTGTGGGGGGGAAGGACAACAAACTAAACACAAAAAGCAGTTCTAAAGAAATGTATGTTCCATCGAGAGATTATAAATCGATAACGATGGCCAAGGAGGACCGGGGCCCAGTGAGCTGCAGGTGACCCATTCCCTGCCCCTCTCTCTCTTAGGCTTTGTATGGAACAACGTCGGACAAGGCTCGCTGGAGGAGCTGCAGCAGCTACGTCAACAACATCCTCTCCAACGCTGTGGGAGCTCTCTACGTGGAGGAAGCATTCGCCGGAGACAGCAAAAAAGTGGTGAGTAGTCGTAGTACTAGTAGTAGGAGTTACTTTTGTTTCATATTCGAATTGAAGGGCCCCTACCGTGGGGGCGATGGTTTCCACACTGGACCTCGAATCCAGAGGTCGCCAGTTAGATTCAATGTCCCAGCAGCGTAGGTGGGTACACCACTCCAAGTTTGCGTGGGGTGGCGGGGTGAAGTATGGCAAATACAACCAATGGCTGCATTAATTAACTAAATGCCCATGGGTTTCTGTTCTTTCGTGTGATGACGATGCGTTCAGGAGCTCGATGCCAATGTCGAGGGCTGCAGGGGAGAGTTCGTGTATTCCCGCTTATTCCTCTTTCCTTGAAGGAGCGCAGACGACGATGGTTCACTATATATATGGTCGATAGTTTTGGTTGCATGGCCAAAATCGCACTGTGGCCTGCCTTTACTTTTCCATTCATGAAGGAGATGTGCACATCAGACTGTTGACGTTCTGATGTGGTTAATGGTTTCCACCACCACCACCACGGCTAGTGTCTTGGAGGTGGGAGGGATGTCAAAGCCAGGAGGTGCGTCCGATGTTTTGGATATCGAACGAGGTGTTTATTGCCGGACGCCCAAATTTTTCTCCCCCCTCTGTTCGCCGACATTGTTCTGGATTCTGGGAGAGATTCTAGGAGGGTGACAGCGCGATCTCAGGGGTGTGACCAGCCTGGGTAAGCAAAGGGTGTCAATTTATGCACCGCCACTCTCCTGCTCGCCTGTCTAATGCCCGTCGTTCATTGCTCAAAGGTGCAAGAGCTTGTGAAGTGGATTCGCGAAGTGTTCATTTCAAACCTGGACAAAATTACCTGGATGGACGACGCGACAAAGGGAAGGGCGCGCGACAAGGTGAGCGACGCTTGTCACAGTCCCCGGCACGCCGCCGGTGAACCTCGAAGTGGGGAAATTAGCGGATGATATATTGTTGCATTCGAAAACACAACTCTGATTAAAGACCAATGCCAGAGATGTTTTGTTATTTTTTTTGCTATTAAACCGGACATATGACTCGGTGGTCAAACAAGTGGCTTCACCATCGGAAGGTCCACGAGTTCAAATCTTTCTGGTCGATAAAATAAGTAACCACCTTGTGGGGAGGTCAACGCTGGTTGTCGTCCTATAGATGGACTTACCCCCGTGAGAGGAAGGTGGAATTTCCACCACTGGCTCAGAGCTGTGATGAGGAGAGGAGCAACCACCTCATTGCTCATTTGAGCAGAAAATCACCTTGAACTTTTGAGTTAAAGCCGTATTTATTTCAAATTTTTTTTTAAATGACACCATTATGCATATTCAACCTCTGTGCACGTGATTACCTTCGGATGGCCAAGAGAGAATCTACGCTATTGTTCTATTGCAGGCTTTTGCTATCGTCGAACGGATCGGATATCCCGAGTTCATCGTGGATAAAAACGACCCCAAAATCGACGAAGAATACGCCGACGTGAGTCGAGTCCATCAACAGTGCCTCCTGGCAACATCGGATCGCGTGTGTTCGCCACGTTACCCCGGCCCCCATTCACTCGGTGCCGATCACACTGTTGCGTGGGCCAGGGCACGTAGTGTGGCATTGCAAGGGTTCAAAGGTCGTGAGGTCAAAGTGTCACGTGAGGAAGAGGCAGGTGCGCGCACAGCCACGCGTCGGAGGTCGGGGAGTGCCCTCTTAGCGAGTGGCTGTTCGTTAAATTTATTGCGCCGCAGGTTTAGTGTTGCGCTCTGCTTTACTACGATTGTGCAAAACATATATACGCAACTACTGGGCCAGGCAGCTCAGTGGCAGGGTTCAAATCCTGACTGGGGCCCGTCGCTTTTCTCGTTACGTTGTTTAATAAGTAGCAGACGGAGCCACTTCTTAGAGTGCCCCAATGTGTTGGCAGCCAACGGTGGAATCCCAAACGCCGAGCCCCACCTCGCTCTGCCACGGCGATGGCAAGCGGGCTAACCATCAACTTAAAGATGTCGAAATATAACAAAGACAAATATCCCCCGTGTAGCCTTAACAGACTGTTGGGGCAAGTGCTGTAAGCAAGTAGCACCTATGAAGGCTGGAAAAAGCACACGAGGGGGTGGGCCACCAGCAGCACGCCCGGCTGCCTTTGTCCCCCTAGCGTCAGTGTTTACACGCCGCACCAGGTACTCATTTGAGGCTGAGTTAACCTAGGGGATGCCCATCACCGGTTCAGATAATCGCCACTGGTGTTGGCCGTGAGTGGGAATCGAACTTTGGTCTACGGGTTCATAGCGCAGCGCGCTACCCGCTACATCACCCATACAGGCAACTGTATATCAATATCTGTTGCTACAGTGTGCACATCAATCACTCCATCACGTGATGTATAAGCAACTGAAATCCCAATAGCCAGGTGCACTCTTAGTTGGGCAGCGGTTCGCAGTTGGTAGTTTAAGAGTTCAAATCGTGGCTTGCGGTTGACTCAGCCCATCATCTCGCCTGGGGGGTCAATAAAACGAGTGCCATTTTGTGGGGGAAGTAACACTTGCTCTGCTATGGATAGACTCGCCCCCGCCATAGGAATAAGGAATTAACTCAGGGCTGTAAATCGCGAGATTTCTCCCGACTCGGTGCATCTCCCACTGTTTGTGCCGCTCCCTTGCGACCGAAGGTTCCATCATCGCCATTGTCACCTTGGGATCTAAAATATCTATATATTTTTTTGTCCAAAATGTCGTGGCTGTCTCTTAGCCACATCGCGACATTGCCGTGGCGTCGCGACACTCACCCACGGTGCCCATGGGAAGAGGACGGGGGGGGGGGAGGGGGCGTTGGGAGGTTATGCGTGTGAAGGTAATTGTCGATATGCTTTGTTGCGTTCTGATGTTGTAGCTGGCGTACAGCACCACTGAGTACTTTGCGAACACGCTGGCATCACTGGCGTTCGACTCGAAAAGAAGACTCGCAAGAATCAACACCGCAGTGGACAAGAACGAGTAAGGGCTTTTTTTAAATCATCACGCTCACGGATATATGATCCACCTGCACATGTGAAACACTGCGATCGGTGGAATGTGGAGGTGCATCCCTGTAGTTGCTTCCTCACTTTACTGCTGGCACAAGGGGGGCCTCCACTGGAGGGGAACTCCAGAGAGTCTCTCTCGAGAGGATATTTTGGTCTACTCTTCCATGCTAGCCAAATGTGCTGGCAGAGGTGGGTGTCCCCACACTTCCACCACACACGAACCTGTCAATCGACTGAAGTGTCTACCAATCTCAAGTGCTGGCTCGACAAGAGGCCGGGCGATTTAAGTAAATTGCCCACTGTGTCAACTACCACGCCGGGAGGTAGAACCGGCGACGTGTGACTTGGGGAGCTTCCTCTCGTAGAGGCCCTTCCGTCAGCAGTTGTGTGAGCGAGCAGTTTGCATGGCCGCAGCTTTACCTTGACCTCGTTCTAATAGACACTTAAAGTATGAAATATAGAGTGGAATAGGTTTTACCCTTTCTGGCAATAAAACGGGTGTTAGGATCCTCAAACACCTTTTACTTGCATTGTCTTTGTACTGGTCGCCTTTTGCCATTCCCTGGTCTGACACCGGTGGAGACTAGGCCAGAATGAAGGCTGCCTCTGGTGTAGGCCAATAAGTTTCCACGACAATGCGTACATCATCAGAGCGTGTTTGTTTGCATGTTTTGCCACAAGTGCTTGCAGTTAATGCAGACTTGATGCCTTGCAGAAATGTATCTATTTGTTGTTTGAAGAACACGCGTTTTATTTGCCAGAGAGGATATTATTTTCCATCCTTTGATGCTGCCAAGAAGGTCCCAGGGAGACACCTAAATGCACCCTTGCGCCCGGCTTACAAGCGACACCGTCATGACATGTCCTCAATATATTGTGCGCGTTATAAATTGTAGTCGTTATTATTGCAAATAATTCTACTCTGTTCTCGCGTAAGATGGCAATATGGTTCAGGAGCTACAATGCCAATGTCCATGTCTGCTGCTGGCCACGACGAGAGGGCATCAGTGAGGGCATCAAGAGAGAGTTTGAATAGTTTTGCCACTCATACAACCATTGAAGGAATGCAACTACTATTTCATCATTACACGATAAATTATTTACAACAATCACAAAATAAGCCACAAACCCAATGCCCGTTGATTGAATCCCGCACTCTGTGCAATTACTTCTCATTTCAGATGGATCTCAGGAGCGGCTGTGGTCAACGCTTTCTACAGCTCGAGCTACAATCAGATAGGTGCAGAGCACAAAAACAAAATACAACACACAAGCAAATGCAAAGCAGTTCACGAAACAGCCACATTCATACACGAAAAAATAAAATCGCATTGCGTCAAGGTGTCTAGCTGGTGAATGGCCATCAATTGAACTGGATCACTGGATTTACAGCATAGTGCATTAACACTCCTCCTTGCAGTCAATATAATGCAGTTCTATATATTTTTTGGAATATGCAAATCATTGACAACATTTACTGTGTGAATGTATAAAGTGCATCAGTGTTTTCTGTCGATGCCTTATAAAATGTCTGTCGGAGAATGGCGACGTATCATGAATCTCTTATTTCTAATACCGTTGACATCTGTGGACCCGACAACCTCCCTGTTAAATTTACAGCACCCATATAACCATCTCCGATGTGCTGTTGGGTGGCACTGCGGTGTCATCGGCGCGATGTCCTGCCAAACGGCGCGGCGGCACGACCAAAACACACACCAGCACAGCGCTTTACGGCACAACCACAAAGATTTAAGCCGTTGTATGTTGTTTATCCCCCTGTTGCAAATTCCCTGCAAATGTACCCCAGTCTTATTGTCCATCCCCCCATCCCCCCCCCCCGTCCCCACCCCCCAGTTCTGTTTAAAATCTCCATACATCCACATTGTTTTGCGTTAATGGGTTATATTTTAAATGCGTAAGCATTGTCCGCGTTTTCCAATCTGCCTTGAAGGAGGAGGAGGAGGAGAGTGTGCGTGGGCGTGCGGGTGGCTGTTCACAATCTGCTGAATGCGTTTCAATTCACTCCCCGCCAACCCAGTGTTCCCAGCGGGGATCCTGCAGCCGCCCTTCTTCGGCCTGGATCAGGCCATGTCCTTGAACTTCGGAGGCATCGGCATGGTCATCGGGCACGAGATAATCCACGGCTTTGACGACAGCGGTGAGAGAAGAAGAAGAATAATAACTAGTTCGTGAAGCCTGTCTTCGGCAGGCAAAAGTTTTCTACAAATATAACAATTAACCTGATATGATTTTTTTTACAATTTTTATCTACGATCAGACACTGACAACTACTCCAAGAATGTGTATTTTTCCGCAGAAAACCCACAAATATTGTCGACTTGACTCAACTTGTTATACTTTAAGATGTATCCATTGGAAACCGCTCGATTTAAAGACTTTATTAGAAATAACAAAAATGCATGAACTTAATCCGCTATGAGGGGAGTTTAACACGTAGGCTTGAGGGGAAGCTCCGATCCTTGACCATTTTCGAATTATTCAGATTGGAACGTCATAAAATGCGTATTTTTTTCGTTCAAAACCACTTTAACGCAAAATATCTAAAAGATCAATAAAAGATGGAACAATGGTTCTCCCTTTAACTTTATTTGCTCTTGAACCCTCTACCAAACGATAAAACCCACAATCTTATATTTTAAACGGTTTCTGAACGACACCAGGCACACACGTGTTTGTGGGGCACATATTTGCGTCCTAAAGCTACCTATTCAGCAAACGTCAGTCGAGAAGTACCCTGGAGGTTTGTGAGACATACAGATGGACGTCTTTATTCATATGGATAACAAAAAATCATTTCAACCCTCGCACCAAGTGATTTCGCCGGCGTAGGTGTGGCGAAATAGTCGACCTCGATTTCATGTGCGGCATGTAACGTTGAACTTCTTTCGCACCGCACGCAGCCAAGCGTGGCTCGTCGGAGATGCGGACGACAATGATCCACAGGTGGGCCGTTATCGAATGCCTTTTTGTGAACGCGGGCGCTGTGCTTCGGTAGGTCGTAATTTCGACAAGGACGGCAACCTGGTGGACTGGTGGTCGGCCGAATCGGCTAAAAATTTCAAGCAGAAGTCGCAGTGCATCATCGATCAGTACGGCAACTTCCAGTGGGACCTTGCCGGAGGACAGAACGTAAGGAGTTTGGAATAATCGTGTGTTTTTGGATTCGAGGCTGCAGCATGAGCGGTCAGGACACCGGGCTTGCGATCCTCGAGGTCCGCCAGCTCAATTCGAACTCCCCGGCGTGGCAGTTGAAGCAATGAGAGCGCTGCCCAACCAGCCGTGTGGATGGGGTTGCACCACAGTTAGTCGATCGGCGAGGTCGCGTGCGGTGGGGTGACGCGCGGGGACTGGCCCGCCTCTGCGAACATGTTCTTGGTTATTTTGGTAATGTCACGTTGAGTGGAAAACAAAAAATAAAAGTGATCAAAATAAAATTCATAAATTGAAAATACTAAAAGCTTTTATTATTTTCAATTCATTTTTTAGTATTAAATTTTAATTATTTGTATTTTTTATTATTTCATTATAATTTTTATTCATTTTCTAATTTATTTCCTATTTACGTGACTTTACCAAAAGAACCAAAAATATTAATTCCCGCAGTCACGAAAGTTTTAGGTCAAATTCTGACATGCTTGGCTAGCGCGGAAGAGTCGGGCACCACAACCCTCTCGGAGGACGGGTGTCTTTAAAATCGAATGTACGACAATGCCGTGTCGTGAAAATGCCTCACCGAGTCTCGGAGGAGGTGGGGAGGGTGGAAATTGTAAAACGCGCTGAGCGACCGATAGCGGAACGGTGCACGTTTGTGAAAGAAAGAGAAAACCGCGTTGTCATTTTGTTTCTGGAGGTGGAAACGCGTCGGAGAGCCCGTGAATGTGGCGGTACTGCGATAATTTTCAACAACAAACAAAGAGACTGCGCTTCTCGTAATGTTCATGAACTTTTTAATGCACACCCACTGTGAAATTCTCAGAATACTTTTAGAAATTTACAGCGGGGCGCGATTGTTCGCGCACTCACTGCAGCCGTCAACCTGGCGACAACGAGTTTTGACTCGCGGCCACGGCGAGCACGAGTGACGAAGTGAACAGATAATTTGTCGTTGCTGTGTTTGTCTTGTTGTTGTTGTTGTCGTGCAGCTGAGTGGCATCAACACGCTGGGAGAGAACATCGCTGACAACGGAGGCATCCGTCAGGCTTACGAGGTGAACACGTGTTCTCACGGTTACCTTCCACGCACTGTCTCCACAACAGCACTGAACCCTACGTCTCACCTCCCCACCTTTCATTGCAATAGTTACCCTCTTTCATTGCAATAGTCACCCCCTTTCATTTCAATAGTTACCCCTTCTTTCATTGCAAGTCACCCTCTTTCATTGCAATAGTCACTCCTCTTTCATTGCAATAATCACCCTCTTTCATTGCAATAGTCACTCCTCTTTCATTGCAATAGTTACCCGCTTTCATTGCAATAGTTACCCCTCTTTCATTACAATCGTTACCCTCTTTCATTGCAATAGTTACCCCTCTTTCATTACAATAGTCACCCTCTTTCATTACAATAGTCACCCCTCTTTCATTATAATAGTTACCCCTCTTTCATTACAATAGCTACCCCTCTTTCATTACAATAGTTACCCCTCTTTCATTACAATAGTCACCCTCTTTCATTGCAATAGTCACCCCCTTTCATTTCAATAGTCACCCCCTTTCATTTCAATAGTCACTCCTCTTTCATTACAATAGTTACCCCTCTTTCATTACAATAGTTACCCCCTTTCATTGCAATAGTCACCCCCTTTCATTACAATAGTCACCCTCTTTCATTTCAATAGTTTCCCCTCTTTCATTACAATAGTTCCCCTCTTTCATTTCAATAGTTACCCCCTTTCATATCAATAGTCACCCCCTTTCATATCAATAGTCATCCCCTTTCATTTCAATAGTCACTCCTCTTTCATTACAATAGTTACTCCTCTTTCATTACAATAGCTACCCTCTTTCATTGCAATAGTCACCCCCTCTTTCATTACAATAGTCACTCCTCTTTCATTTCAATAGTTTATCCTCTTTCATTACAATAGTTACCCTCTTTCATTTCAATAGTTACCCTCTTTTATTACAATAGTTACCCCCTTTCATATCAATAGTCACCCCCTTTCATATCAATAGTCACCCCCTTTCATTGCAATAGTCACCCCTTTCATTGCAATAGTCACCCCCTTTCATTTCAATAGTCACCCCCTTTCATTGCAATAGTCACCTCTCTTTCATTTCAATAGTTAACCCTCTTTCAATGCAATAGTCACTCCTCTCTCATTGCAATAGTCACCCCCTTTCATTGCGCGTACCGCCACGTGTCTAAAGCGCCACATGGGACTTGAACGGGGCGTGGACGTACTCCGAGAAACACGCTTCGTGGAGCGCGTGCGCCGCGTTCCTTTAAAAATATTTTTTACATTTTTTTATTTTAACGTCGAGTGACTGAGGACGCCGAGCCGAGCGAGTTGGCTGAAGAGCGCCGAGCTTGCCAGCGAAGGCAGCTGACGCGCGAGTCAGCGATGAGATCCAGTGATGGATTTTCCTGGTAGCACAAGTAGCTACACATGTAGCTACGGGCCCCGCACTTTCAAGTTGCCCCGCGCTTAACGCTTTCAAGCTATCAATTCCGTTTCAGAGAGTCTGCGCTTGCTCTATTACTATAGTACTATACTGCCTTAGACTTTTACGAACGACTGGGTGCTTAAGGTGAGCGATTTGTCGTATTATCTGTCTGTATAGCAAATGAAAAAATACAATTACTTTACCATGTAAAATAAATTAGTGTTTTAATACGTATCTTTTTTATATTTTAGGGCCCCTTTATAGAATATGCTACAGGCCCCGCACTAGCTTAATCCGGCACTGATGCGATCCCAGAAGCAGCAGCAACCACCCCCCCCCCCCCGCCGCACGTATGTATGTTGAACTTGTAAATGTTGTGGATTTGCTCTTCAACACACCGGTGTGCTGTACAAGTGTAGTGACTGACTCCGAGACACTACGAGTATGAGGCACTCTGTTTATTAAACGGCCTTAACAGTTAACGCTTGGTAACTACGGTTCCCAGTCAAGACAGCTGGTAGACTGCCTGACTGGCGGCGCCGAGGTGGTGAAGACTCCGGCAGCAGCACGACAGGGACTCCCCCCCCCCACTCCACACGACAGCCCCGAGGTCCCCTCCCGGGGCCCCTCTTATACTGGGGGGCGTGGCCTGGCCCCACCCCCGGCCACGCCCCCCTTCTAGAACCTACCAGCAGGTTCTCGATGTGCCCCCTCCGTAACCTTTCCCCTACGTCCCTCTCTGGTCTCTCACGTGGCCTGCTGCCAGTCAGGGCTGCTGCGAGCTGCAGATCCCCTCCCCTGCCAGCAGCCAGCGCTATGCTGCTACGTGACCGATTCTATGTCACTACACTTGTAACTAATTGGCATTATCTGTTCACGTAACAAACCTTACTAATTGGCTGTGTCGGATGGTGCGCGGGTTTAACGACACATTTATATCTACGCGATCTAACCCCTGAAAAAAACCTGTATTATTGATGTTGGACTTCTCTTGCACGGCACGTCGCTAACCGTATGTCGCGTTCTGCTGCTGCGCCTGTGTCCTCGACGCACGGCCGCGTTGTGTGCAGGCTTACATGGCATGGGTCAAGGACAATGGCGAAGAACTGCCACTGCCCGGGCTCCATCTCAGCCACCAACAGCTCTTCTTCTTGAACTTTGCTCAGGTAAAATAAAAACAACACTCATGTGATCGCCGTTAAGCGAATGCAGCCTTTGCAATTTCGGTATCGTCATCCACATCACCAACATCATGAGGCAGGATTAAATCAACTGCTGGATCAAGCTGACGTCCCACTTTTTTACATTATCTGAATTTAATTTAAAGGCTTCAATTGCTGAACAATAAAAACGATCATTGTGCGCGCTCCGTGATGCATCCATCACCCATCGTTACCATCGTGGCTTCCATCTATGTATGATTCGCCAAACACCGTTTGCAACGTGCTAGATTCGTGTGGTGTGTGCCCTAACACCTAGCTACACAGGAGCTTCCTATCCTAGCTACACAGGAGTCACCTACCCACCCTAATAATTCACAATGTTGTTGCTATGTGTTGGTTTTCAGGTGTGGTGCGGCGATTACAGACCCGAGTATGCCAGCAACTCGATTAAAACAGACGTGCACAGCCCTGGAAAGTTCAGGTCAGTCACACAAATGCAAGTCACTTCACTTCGTAGCCCGATGATGCAGTTGTGCTCTACAGCTTTTCCCCGGCGTGCGTTTTTGGGTCACACCGCGCGTTGTTCGACACGATGTCCGACGTTTCCCTCCGCACTTTGAGAGTTTTCTTCTACTCCGTTCCTGAACAAGCTGCAGGTACGTGCAGTGAAATGTCGGACGTCAATCCAAACGACTCGGCAATCAAACCAAAAAGACATCGGAGAGCTGTGCACACTCCTTGGCAATGCAACTCACTCACCCTTTGCATCATGATGAAGTAACAATAACTCAGCCCTGCGCCGATCCACTGCTGGATGAAGGCCCCCCCAAGTCATGTTGGCGATGTGGGGGCTGTTTGACCATGCCTCACCACGCCGGTAGGAGGAGATGCCCAAGTTCGGGTTGGATTATACTCCATGACTAACGTCAGTTGTGGCCAGGAACCAAACGGAGGTCACTGGGGTTCATAACGCAGCACGCTAACCACTGTACCACCACTGTGGCCCCTTGTCATTGGCATGAGCACTATCGTCATCATTATCATCAACAACAGCCACGGTCGATCCACTGCTGGATAAAGCCCCCCCCCCCAAGTCACCGCCATCTCTCGCAACACCTACGATACCACGGTGTGCAATATGCCGATGCTCGGTGATCTCCAAGATAATTGCCAAATGTCTCCATGCCTCTTGGCCACTGGTTTTTGGCAATTGGTTCTTCGTGCCGTTCATTGTTGTCGTCGTCGTCGTCCGACAACTTACCGCGCGCGAACGCGGTCGTCTCTCTTTTGCAGGGTCATTGGATCCCTGCAGAACTTCGAGAAGTTTTCCGAGGCCTATCAGTGCAAGGCCTCCGACGCCATGAACCCCAGAAGCAAGTGCCACGTTTGGTGAAACGGAGAAACGACTTTTCCCCAAAATAACTCGTGCGTGCCGTTGCGTACCGTCAGCCACGCGACGACGCATCGACTCGTCGAGGAAAATCTTTTTTTCACTTACCGCCCTTCGACAACGACGATGCTCGCACGGAATCGCGTTGCTGGGAATAGTTTTTGCTTTGTCTCAACTCAAGAGGTCCCTGCCTGCAGCCACCACAATTGGTGGTTGCTTACATTCGCCACAATTTAATCGATTATTTAATTGATTCTTTAATCGGATTGGATTCCCCCGAACTGTCACAGTTAATTGAATCGTAAGGCAAGGCGGTGGGTGGGTGGGGGTTAATGATCACATGCACGCAGTGTTGATGCACGCAGGGTGAGGGATTGCCAGGATGTCTTCAACAAAGGGAAGTCAAGAGCGACTTAGGAACGGCAGCAAAGGGGGTGAAATCGTGAATGTGTAGCGGTACGGTCGTGCGGATGTTAACAGTGACACAGTGTAGTGGATTGTTGCACAGCAGCAGCATAAATGTAAGAGGCAGGGACAAGCAATGGAACGTCAGTCTCATCGTAGTCACCCCCCCCCCCCCCTCCGCTGTGACAAAGGGCCAGACCCACACATCTCTGAGGTGTTGTGATGCTTGTCCACACCACAGCAGGCTGCTTTGGCCTCGGGGAGGCGTCGGAACCGGTCCAGATACCAACCACTGATGTTAGGCGTACACTGGAATCGAACTTGGCCCGGTCGGGAGCGCAATGAGCTAGTCGCTGTGCTACTGCTCCCCAGAGTCAGCACACCACACACGCGCGCGCGCACGTGCGTACGTTTGCACGGTCAACAATTGCTTCTCGCAAAATGCAAACGACACGCGTGCACCTTGCACGAATGGTTATTTGCATTTTCTTTTCGGACACTCCCAACCTCGAAAGTGAGCTCTGGTCCCTGCTGCTGAAATGTAATACTGGGTGGCAAAGAGTATTGCAATTAAATAGCAATCGATAGAAAAACTCATCTTGCAAAAAATAATGTTGGCAATTATCCAATGCTCGGTTCTACTCGAATAGGAAATGGGCAGAAATTAACGAGTCAGTTTTTTTTTCTGGATAAATAACACGAGTTTTAAGATATACATAATGTAGATGCGTCCAGGAAAGACGTTCACGAAGAAATAGTTTCAACTTCAAATGAAAGCCTGGATTATCAGAATCAGTGTGAATGTATTCCTCAAGGACTGATTAGATAGTGAATGACATATCATTTAGATTGGACGTCATGGCCTCGTCTCCGATACACAGCATCACAGTGGTTGTATACACAAACTACGGCAAAGCATGTATGTACAATTAGGAAAAGGGCACAGTGAAATCTTAATATAAGCATATATTGTATAAGCAGAGTTCTGGTTAGCACGGTTGGCTACGTACGGTGCAAAATAAGTTGAACACACACAATACAAAAGGCAACCTCTGATATAAGCACACGTTGGTATATAAGCACGGCTGGATTTGCTCCGATGGGGGTGTGGGTCATATCTAGCAGCTGCTGCTGCTGCAGGTTTATTGTGAAGTGACGTGCGTGACAATCGTGACATCCTGTGTGTGTAACGGGGCTTAAATGGACCAACATCGAAACAAAAGCAATGGCTGGGTGAACAACATCAGCTTCGCATGTATTGGTGCTTCATTAAATGAGCAAACGTCATACGTTTTCAATCAACACATTACTCAACTAATACTAACAGAATGTACATTCTTTTGTTTTGTATTTGTTTTATATTAATAGGTGAATAGAATTAAGGGAAACGTCAGATGTGTTGTGCAGGCAGCTTTTGGGAAGTTGCATTCAAAGGCTCAAAGCGTATTCGCGAGTCTCAGCTTAAGCCACCCCCTGCTGATTTCTCACACCGTGGTACTCGTTTTATCGACCACCCTGGGATGATAATGAGCCGAGTCCAACCCTTTAACCGGGATTTGAACTCTAACCACAGTACCGTCGGATCAACTGGAATCCCATTGCCTCAACTTTCATCTCAAAACGTTTCCATTTGATTTTAACAGTCCACACAGCTGTACAAAGACAAATATCCCCTGTATAGCCTGAACAGACTGTTGGGGCAAGTGCTGTTAGCGAGCACCTATGAAGGCCGGCACGGTACATAAGGGGGTGGGTGGCCAGCACCACGCCCGGCCGCCTTAGTCTTCCCAGCGGCGATGTTTACACACCGCACCAGGTACTCATTTGAGACTGAGTCGACCTAGGGGAGGCCCAGGACTAGTTCAGATAATCGTCTCCCGGGTTCGTAGTGCGGCGCACTAACTACCACACTACAGCTACACTCCAGATGGACACACACTCACATTAAGTGATTTTCCAACCGTGATCATGGGCTGTGGAAGTTTCTACCGGTTTAATATTGGCGTGGAGGTGCGTGGCATGAGAGCTGGAAGTAACAAGTAAACTGTCGAGCAGCCTGATTGTTAAAGCAGTGTTCGCCATTTAGAGAGGCTGGGGAAATGCGAAAGCTTTAAAAAATGTAATCGAGTAGCGACGCGTATCTTCATTTTACGTTTCGTTTTATTACTTCAATGACTAGCAGCCCCCTCGTCGACATTAATACTGCACTAAAAAAAACATTCTGGTTGGTAAAAGTTGCCGGGGTTTTCAGTGGCCAGGGGCTCCCAGCTCACCACGTGTCTTGGTTGAGCCTTCCGGAAATGTGGAGTGGGTTTTGGGTTAATGGCAATCGATGATTCTCTCGTACCAACAGTGTCCCTTTTTATAACCCGTCACATTCAATGGGGCCCTTTTAATGTTCCACTTTCAAAGGGGGGGGGGGGGGTGTCGGCTTTCAAAAGCAATTCGAGCAATGTTTACCTTTAGTTACTTCCATCTTCCCACGGTAGGCAACGTTCCGTGCCGACGTCGTGAACGTTCGAGACGTCGCGAGCGACGGTGTGGCTGTGACAGCCGCGGTCGCAGTGCGGGCCCGAGGTGTCTAGCGCCGCTCGCCGTGCGGTGTCGCGTGCACCCGCTCGCTCGTGCTGTGTCGCACCGCGCCGCCTTTCTGAATTGTCATGTCTGCGACAGGCAGTAGAAGTGGGCCACGATTTGGGTAAACGGAATTCACACGGCTCCAGAATCGCAACGGTACATTAGTCACAAATTGAATGCAATCGTGTTTACGCGATGGACGTTTCGTTTATAAAAGTATATATTTTTTTCTGAAAAATAAACTACTTTTTTTTCCATGGGTGATAAATGTGTAAACATTTAACGGTAATAAAATAGAAAAAAATTAAACGTAAAGTATTGTTTTGGTATTTAAACGAACACTGATTTTTTATTGAGATTTTAACACATTAAAACATTGTTCAGAAACAGTTTCGTCATATCACCCACTGCATACTCTTTAAAGTCACGTAGGTATAAAATGAAACAAATTAAATCACGACGTTTCGGGCGCAACACAAGCGTCCGTCATCAGGTGGGAAAGCATGATCTGCTGCTGAGGCAGACTGTTTTAAAACGGTTTGAAATGGGTGTAGCCCAAGGGTCATAAAGAAGTGGCCGGGGCTCGTGATGTTAATGCGAGAGATTAGCATGATGTTAATGTGAGAGATTAACATGATGTTAATGTGAGAGATTAACATGATGTTAATGTGAGAGATTAGCATGATGTTAATGTGAGAAATTAGCATGATGTTAATGTGAGAAATTAGCATGATGTTAATGTGAGAGATTAGCATGATGTTAATGTGAGAAATTAGCATGATGTTAATGTGAGAAATTAGCATGATGTTAATGTGAGAGATTAACATGATGTTAATGTGAGAGATTAGCATGATGTTAATGTGAGAAATTAGCATGATGTTAATGTGAGAAATTAGCATGATGTTAATGTGAGAGATTAGCATGTAACTGTATGCTAGGAGAGCGGCCTCCTCGACGAGGGAGTGCAACCCAACAGGTGCAATCCAAAGGACATGTGAGCATGAGAGTGCAATCAAAAGGACATGTGAGCATGAGAGTGCAATCCAAAGGACATGTGAGCATGAGAGTGTAATCCAAAGGACATGTGAGCATGAGAGTGCAATCCAAAGGGCATGTGAGCATGAGAGTGCAATCTAAAGGACATGTGAGCATGAGAGTGAAATCCAAAGGGCATGTGAGCATGAGAGTGCAATCCAAAGGACATGTGAGTATGAGAGTGCAATCCAAAGGACATGTGAGCATGAGAGTGCAATCCAAAGGACATGTGAGCATGAGAGTGTAATCCTAATGACATGTGAGCATGAGAGTGTAATCCTAATGACATGTGTGTATGAGAGTGTAATCCAAAGGACATGTGTGTATGAGAGTGCAATCCAAAGGACATGTGAGTATGAGAGTGTAATCCAAAGGACATGTGAGTATGAGAGTGTAATCCAAAGGACATGTGAGCATGAGAGTGTAATCCAAAGGACATGTGTGTATGAGAGTGTAATGTAAAGGACATGTGAGCATGAGAGTGCAATCCAAAGGACATGTGAGTATAAGAGTGTAATCCAAAGGACATGTGAGCATGAGAGTACAATCCAAAGGCATGAGAGTGCAATCCAAAGGACATGTGAGTATGAGAGTGTAATCCAAAGGACATGTGAGCATGAGAGTGCAATCCAAAGGCATGAGAGTGCAATGCAAAGAACATGTGAGCATGAGAGATTTTCTACCTACGTGACTTTACCGAAAGAACCAAAGAGTATAGATTCCTGCAGTCACGAAAGCTTCAAATCAAGATCACTCATTGCAGTTTGTCAAAACCAAATCTGTGTTGCCAACCATAACACATTTAACCTTGATCTAATTTGATGTATTCTTAATCATCATCAGCCATGATGAATCTACTATTAGATTAAAGCCTTCCCAAGTTACCGCCCACCCTCTTACAAAGCTGCAATATAATAAATCCACATAGCACCTGCACAACACAAAACTAATTTCATTGCTCCATCTCCTTGTTGGACGTTGGTGAAGCCAGTTGCTCGACCACTGAGCCATCCGGCCGGTTTCATTGGAAACAAAATGACATCACGTCTTTGTCATTGGTGTTGATTCAGAGTTGTGTGCTCTTGTGTAACAATGTCATCCCCTGATTGTTCCACTCCGAGGTTCACCGAGTCTCAAGTCCATTGTCTATTTTTCAAGAGGATCTTGCTCGAGATATTTGGCCAAATCCTAACCAGATATCCTAATCGGGCCACCGCGGTGGCGAGATGTTAACTACCTCACCTGGTATACAGGAGGTCGTGGGTTTGATCCCGACCCTGACGCCTGTCGTATATTTGGAGTTTGCAGTTCTTACCGTTGGTCGTGTGGATTTTTCTCTGGGTTGTCCGGGTTTTCCCTCTACATTTAGAATTATGCGTTTCGAGTATTTGACTGCTATACATTTCCACATGACAAGCCACTTCGTTGAGCCATCATTTGTGGCCGGGTCGTTTGTGAAAAAGAACTGTGCATCCAAGTGGGTCTTATCTGGTAAAATAAAAACACAACGGTGATGAAGGGTAAACAAACATTTCCTCTCTTTGTAGGCGATCCTCTAACACGAGGGATTGCACTGCTTTAAGAGCGAATCAGGTGGAAGCTTTGTCTCGTGACATAACACAATTTGGATTTTAACAAGACTCATTTTTGTATATGCAGTAAAGCATGCGTGACCCCCCCCCCCCCCCCACCTTATTAGTCTCCCCCCGCATGCCGATGTGGGCGACGAAGATGGTGGAGACACATTATACTCGTGGAAACACACGCCTGCAGCGAGTGGTCTGAGCCTCCCCTAGGGCAACTCGGCCTAAAATGAGTGGCAGATGCTTCGTGCGAACATTCGCGCTTTGGGAGGGAGGGTGGAAAAAAATGCGACATGGGGGTACGCTCTTCGCCACACCGCTGTCTCGCGTGCAGTGGCGGCATTCAATGGGTGGCACATAAACAGCGCGTGAGCCGAGCGTCGATTATAATTCACACACTGCCAACCCTCGACGTGCGCGCGACACACACCACGTGGCGCAACCACCCTCGCGCGCGCACGATGAACACTCCGTGAAGAAAGTGGCTGTTAATACCGAACGCAGAGGAAGCTCGAGACGACGTGAGCGCACGTACCGTGTCGCGCGCGTGGACACGGTACGTGCATCCTGTTAAAAAACAAACAAAAAATAAAGCTAAACATTTTCAATCGCGCGACCGAGGCAAGTCATTTGAAGGGCTTCGCAGAGCATCGCTGACTCGCTCCAAGCCGCGTGTCGACGCTGAGCCAGAGCAGCGCACGCCAGCGAAGTCCCAACTGAGTCCTGGACTGTTCAGTCCATTGCCCTGGCATCGGATTAATCGTTTCACAATTGGATTTTGATTTTCGGTGGTTTCAGTGGAATGACGTTTACATTTCTTTAGAAATGGAGTCGAATTCGTTATTAATGGAAATCACGGAGTTTTATTAATGAAACGGATATATCGGGAGACGCCACCTCTGAATTATTCCGGTATTTCGAGCACACAGTGTCCCTGGTAATGAACAGAATCGTTACATTAAAGTGATACAAATCTGAACGGACAAATGTTATAAAATATCTTCACTTTACATAGTTTTACACCATTATTAATTTACTTTGTATACGTACTCCCACACCACACCTCTTCCCGCCAAAACAACAAATCTCGCAATTGCTGCGGTTGAGGTTTTTACTATTTTGAATTATATATAGCCCCTTATAGGTGTATTGGTTCCATAAAGTACAAAAAAAACACGGGACTCGTAAATAAATAAAAACACACTGGGATGTGTTCTTGGTAAATAAGGACGTCTGAGAATAGCCAAGAGCCATTGGGACCGGGGAATAGGCAGAGGTATGTTGGGGCTTTTTTACAATTACGGGTGATTTATGCTCCCAGGATGGGAAAGTGAATATAAACACGTGGTCAGTAAAAAAAACACATTTAGAGCTACAAGAGATTACTTATGTGGAGTTGGTTGTTTGCTTAGTTTCAAACATAAAAGGTGCGATCTGTAACCTAGAAGCAAACAGGGGGAAATTATTGCGTGCTCTTTATATCATGGATTTTTATTTTCCTATTAAAACATTTCCCTGGGTAATCCCCATGAGATAGAACATCTCTCTTCTTTGGTTCT